GGGGCACCTCGAGTAGGCAAAGGAGGCGCAGACACCGGGAAGGCGAGGCGGTCTGCTCGTTCGTAGCCGCTCCTCCAGGACCCCTTTGCCCTCCATCTACCTGGCCAACGTCCAGTCTCTGCCCAACAAGACGGACGAGCTCATGTGTCGGGTCCAGAGCCAGCGCGAGGCCCGGGACTGTGCTGTGTTCTGTCTCAGCGAGACGTGGCTCCACTCGAACGTGGAGGTGTGTGCTTTTTAATTAATCAGCGCTGGTGCACGGACACTCGAATCGTGAACCAAACATGTACTGCCAATCTGGAATGCCCGGTCTTGAGCTGCCGCCCTTTTATCTTCCCCGTGAGTTTTCAGTGATATTTTTATGTGCCGTTTACATTCACCCACGTGCGGATTACAAAGTAGCCCTACAGGATCTGAGCGAGATCCTTCACAAACATGAGTCTGCTCATCCTAACGCAGTCATCATTGTTGCTGGGGATTTCAACAAATGTAAATTAAAGACTGTACTCCCGAACTTTTACCAACATGTGACTCAAGCTACAAGAGGAGCACATGTTCTGGATCACTGCTACAGTAACGTGAAGGGAGCTTACAGGTCCAGTCACAGACCTCCTTTTGGAAAGTCTGACCACTCCTCTGTTCTCCTTCTTCCTTCGTATACTCAGAGGAGCAGGGAAGATAAACCAACCTCTCGCACTGTGCAGTGTTGGTCTGAGGAGGCTAGCATGAAGCTACAAGGTTGTTTTGATGCCACTGACTGGTCTGTGTTTCAGTCAGAGGACGTCAATGAATTCTGTGACGCGGTGTCTGGATACATACGCTTCTGTATTGACTGTTGTGTCCCACAGAAGGTCATTAAAGAACATTTTAGTCAAAACCCTTGGATGAACGCGGAAGTAAAACTGAAACTTCATGAGCGTGCGTTGGCGTTTCAATCAAATGATACAGTTGCTTATAAGCTATCCTGTTACTCATTGAAACGTTCTATTAAATCTGCAAAGCGATGTTACGGGGACAGGTTAAAGAGTTATTTTGAGGAAGATGACCCTTGGCGCATGTGGAACGGTATTAAAGCCATCACATCGTGGAAACCTAGCGCTGGAAAAATCGGATCTGTCGGCCAAGCTCTGCCAAACGAGCTGAACACGTTCTACTGTTGCTTTGAATCCACTGATGCCTGTCCTACTGTATTCCCTGAGTGTTTCAATCAAGGTACCTTCACCGTGACTCAGGAGGAAGTCAGGCGTGTCTTGTCCAGGACCACAGTCCGGAAAGCCCCAGGCCCGGACGGCATCCCTCCTTGTGTCCTGAAACTGTGCTCTGAGCAACTTGCCCCTGTGCTAACAGACATTTTCAACCTGTCGCTAAGGAACTGTACTGTGCCGAACTGCTTTAAAGAGTCGACCATCATTCCAGTTCCTAAGAAAACTCCTGTGACATGCCGGAATGACTATCGTCCTGTGGCCCTCACGTCTGTTCTTATGAAAACTTTTGAGCGGCTTGTGCTGGACTTCATTAAGAGCCAGATCCCTGTGAGTGTTGACCCGCTCCAGTTTGCTTACAGACAGAACAGGAGTGTGGAGGATGCCATCTCCTTTGCTCTGAACTCTGTCTACAGTCACTTGGACACTAGTAAATCTGTCGCGAGAATGCTTTTCATCGATTATAGCTCTGCTTTTAACTGCCTTGTCCCAGGTAAACTGATTGAAAAGCTCATGTCTCTCGGTTTAAGTGTTGCCATGTGTATATGGATTTTTAGCTTTTTAACTGACAGATCTCAGAGAGTGAAAATCAATGACTGTTTTTCTGATGTTGCTTCTGTGAGCACTGGTTCTCCTCAGGGATGTATTTTGAGTCCTTTGCTTTTTACTTTGTACACTCACGATTGTGTGTCCTCCTCTAACTCAAACTTGATCATCAAATATGCTGATGACACCACCATCATCGGTCTCATCAGTGACAATGATGAATCCTCTTATAGAGCAGAGATACAAAATGTGGTTCAGTGGAGTAAAACTAACAACCTCCAGTTGAACGCATCGAAAACATGTGAACTGGTCTACGACTTCAGTCGCAATAGTTCTCATTTGCCTGTCGTAATCGACAACTCCCAGGTGCAGATCGTAGAGGAGTGCAAGTGTCTGGGTTTAACTCTGTCTGATGACCTGAAATGGGTTAAAAACACTGACCGAGTCGTTAAGAAAGCTCGTCAGCGTCTCTACTTTCTGCGTAAACTTAGAGAATTTACCAATAACTCTAAGATTCTGCTTAACTTTTATCGCTGCACCATTGAGAATTTACTTGTTGGTTCTGTGTCTGTGTGGTTTGGAAACATCACAGATAAAGAAAAGAGAGCTTTAAACAAGGTGCTCCGCTCTGCAAAGAGGACCGTGGGCTGTGAGCTTCCTGTTCTGGAGGTTCTTTATGAATCCAGACTTTTTAAACAAAGCTCTTAGGATTGTCAATGACTCTTCTGGCCACCCTGGGAAAGCCATGTTCCAGCTTCTTCCCTCTGGCAGAAGATATCGCTCTATGAGATGCAGGACATCTCGTTACGCTAACAGTTTTTATCCACAAGCTGTTATCAGTGTGAACAGAGCACTTTAATGATTTGCACTTGTTTTGAAACTGTTTTAGTTGATCGATTTCACAGTGACATTTGTTTACTGTTTTATTTGTTTTATTTCTGCCTTTTAATGTTGTTTTATGTCTGTATTTGTCTGTGCACACTGGAGACTTTTGCTAATGTATTCCAATGTGGTGTTTTTACTGCAAATGGCAAATAAACTGAATCTGATATACATATACATACACATACACATACACATACACATACACATATACATATAGATATACATACACATATACGCATCAAGGCAAGCAGCGAACATCACTTCCACTAAAAACACCACTGTTGCAAAAACGTTGAGAAGAGTTTATGGAGTTACTATTTTGACTCAAGTTTTAGTACTCAAAATAATACAGTGGCTCAGTTGGTAGAGCATTGGCCTTTGGGCCTGAAGGTCGTGGGTTCAAGCCCACCACGAGACCTACTTCGAGACTCCCACTAATGTCTGCTGTCGTTGTGTCCTTGGGCAAGACACTTAACCCCACTTTGCCTGAAGCCCCCACTGAAAGATCAAGGCTCCTGTGGCACCTGCAGGAGGATGAGTGAGGGGCTAGTGCTCTGTGTACTGGGTCTGACTGCCACCCCCGACCCAGAAATGGATTAAGGGGAAGAAAATGGATGGATGCAAGTTTTAGTAGTTTTAAATCCTTGTTTATTGTCAAAATAGATTAAGTTGATTTTTCTCTTTTGTTGATGTAGAGTCGTTTTTGTTAGGGTAGGGTATTCATTAAAACTCAGTAAATATCCTTAATTCTCTGTGTTTTTAGCGTGTTGCGACTTTTACCCAGCTGCAGATTGAACTAATTAAACTCCAATAACTCACTTTTTTCCCTTCTGCTTTTGTTTTCGCGGCGTTTCTGGCATGTGTACTCCGTGTTTTTCCAGCGCGCTGCACAAATCCTGTGTCACATTTTTCACTCCATTACCTGCACCTTTACTCCGTCCACTTACAGCCACGCAACATCTGGCTTTGTTAGGATTTGCTGTGGTAATCTTTTAGTGAAATGAGGCGTGGAAATGCGAGCGGTAAACTTTGCATCCATCATGTGAAAAAGAGGACACTGTGGATGTGACTGGACCATCACAGAGGCCGCGGAAAACTCAGTAAAAGTAAGTTACAGGCTGATTATGATATTATGATTATAAATACGGCATTTTGATTTATGGCTGTGATCATTTCTGATTGGAGTAAGCAGTGGGTAATCACGAGGGCATAACGGCTAATCTCTCTGAGTCTACTTCTGAGTTTGTTTTTCTCTGGTGTTGTTGCAAATCAGGGCTGCATTCATAAGGTCTTATTTAACTTAAAGCTGGGATCTCAAACTTTTTATGAAAAACATGAATTATACATTTTGTTTGCTCATACTGAAATAATAATAATGCATCAGTTTTATACAGGACTGTTTTTGGACGATCAGAGTCTCTTCACCTCATTATTCTTTCACTCCAAACACGATGGTGATAAACTACTACTGTAGCCACTGCCCTGGGGCACACTGATAGAAGCGAGGCAACCAGTTTGTGCCATCGGCCCCTCCCACCACCACCAACCATTCACACACACACCAGACTCATTCTAATGTGGGGGAAGTGTCTTGCCTAAGGACACAACCACAGTTTGGCACTTTACAGCCGCAGTCGCCCCACTGTGGCACCTGCTGTTCCCAGAGGTCTCCCATCACAGCACTGACCAGGCCATGCCCTGCTTAGCATCAGGCTCTGGCTTTTCCCATGCAGGTGAGGCCATTAACAAACTCTCTTCCATTTGAATAGAAAAAAGTTAGAGAACCATTTTAAAAATTTTCCTTTGTTGTTGTTTTTGGAAAGTTTAGGTACCTCAGCTTTAAAAAAAAAGAGTGAATTTAGTAGTTTAATTTAGAGTAGAGAATCTGAGGAGTCGGTGTTAGATGAAAGTTTGCTGTGAAGGTTGTGATGGATTTGTTGAAGCGTGAGTCACTTATCGCTGTCGTGTGATCACAGAGGTCAGTGTTAACAAGGAATCAATGTCATCTCTGCACACGGATCTATAGGAAAGGGGGAGGGGGAGGGGAGGGGAGGGAGAGGAGAGAGAGATGAGGGGGAGGGACGAGAGGAGGTGGAGAGGGGGAGTGATGAGGCGGAGAGGAGAGAGGGGGAGACACGAGAGAGGAGGTGGAGAGAGGAGAGATCAATCAATCAATCAATCAAAGTTTATTTGTAGAGCGCCTTTCATACACAGGGCAACACAAAGCGCTTCACAGTCCACATCACAAATCATCACATAAAACAAACACCAGAATCACAATTAAAACATTAAAATCACACAAAAGATTAAAACACAATTAAAACATTAAAATCACACAAAAGAATAAAACCATTAAAACTTTCAAAATTACACAAGAATGAGGGAGAGAGGAGAGAGATGAGGGAGAGAGGAGAGAGATGAGGGAGACGAGAGAGGAGGTGGAGAGGGGAGAGAGAGGAGGGAGGAGAGAGGAGGAGGAGGAGAGGGTAGAGGGAGGGAGAGAGGAGGTGGAGAGGGGAGAGATGAGGGAAGGAGGGAGGGAGAAGAGAGAGGAGAGAGAGATGAGGGGGAGGGGGAGGGACGAGAGGATGTGGAGAGGAGAGAGGGGGAGACACGAGAGAGGAGGTGGAGAGAGGAGAGAGAGATGAGGGAGAGAGGAGGGAGACGAGAGGAGGTGGAGAAGGGAGAGAGAGGAGGGAGACGAGAGAGGAGGTGGAGAGGGGAGAGATGAGGGAAGGAGGGAGGGAGAAGAGAGAGGAGAAGAGACGAGGGAGGATGTGGAGAGGTGAGAGAGAGGGAGAGATGAGGGGAGAGAGAAGGGGAAGGGAAAGATAGATCAGGAGTAGAGGAGGCTGAAAGGAGGAAGAGAAGAGAGAGAGGATCTGAAATGAAATGACAAATATAAACACAAGAATTTACAACCTCTTATGTAAGTCCTCTTTCTCTCTCTCTCTGTCTCTCCCCCCCCCCTCCCCCACACACACTGACCCACTTCTGGGCTCCTCTCTCCGGAGCCGCTTTCAAACGCTGCTGTTGCATTTTTAAGAATGAACCCGACGCCCCCAACGCCGGCTCTTTAAGGTTCACAGCCAACGCTGAGACTGGGAGAGGCGCTGAGACTGGGAGAGGCGCTGAGACTGGGAGAGGCGCTGAGACTGGGAGAGGCGCTGAGACTGGGAGAGGCGATGAGACTGGGAGAGGCGATGAGACTGGGAGAGGTGATGAGACTGGGAGAGGCGCTGAGACTGGGAGAGGCAATGAGACTGGGAGAGGCGATGAGACTGGGAGAGGCGCTGAGACTGGGAGAGGCGCTGAGACTGGGAGAGGCGATGAGACTGGGAGAGGCCATGGAGAAGTATCATCACATTAGTCCTGACTAGAACCAGGAAGTATCATCACATTAGTCCTGACTAGAACCAGGAAGTACCATCACATTAGTCCTGACTAGAACCAGGAAGTACCATCACGTTAGTCCTGACTAGAACCAGGAAGTACCATCACATTAGTCCTGGTCTCAGGTCTCACGAGCTACAGCTATAAACGAACCATGTGGTCTCTGTAACTGGTATAAACATGGTACAAATCTCTCCAACTGGCAAAGGCTGTATATTACATCTTTATCTCTGTGGTATACAACATGTTTCAGCTAAAACATATATGTCAAACTGGCTTACGTTACTCCCGTGCGCCGCTGCTACCCGCCCAAGAGAAGATCGATTACACTGAAACTGATTTATGTTTCTTTTGAGCCGCAGTCCAGTCAGATCCGGGGCCAAATATGAGCTCAAAACATCGACCGACTCCAACACGACACATCCATAAAAACCTCTGCGGCTCTCGTACCTTTTCTTGGCTGAAAAGTGGGAATCCATCACTTTCCCTTCACACCGCGGTGGCTCCGGACCAGCCGTGTTGGGTTTGTGAGGCAGGAGGGAGGACTGTGAAATGTAGGCTGGTGTGACCGAGAATGTTAATTCCAGTGTTGTATTGTCTGTGGGATTGTTAGCAAGTGTAGCATTGTGTGTGGAATAGGAAGTCAGGGAGAGTGCTGGGATTTTTCGACGTTAGTTCACCGAAAATTGGTTTGATGGACAGACACAGTGTGTAATTCTATGTGTGTCTGCATCTGTGGACTGGTCTCTCTGGCCTGGGAGTCTCCTCTGTCCTGGGTCTACATCCTCAGTCCTGGATCTGCAGACCTGGATCTACAGTCCTGGGTCTACAGCCTCAGTCCTGGATCTACAGCCTCAGTCCTGGATCTACAGCCTCAGTCCTGGATCTGCAGCCTCAGTCCTGGATCTACAGCCTCAGTCCTGGATCTACAGTCCTGGATCCACAGCCTCAGTCCTGGGTCTACAGTCTCAGTCCTAGGTCTACAGCCTCAGTCCTGGGTCTACAGCCTCAGTCCTGGATCTGCAGACCTGGATCTACAGTCCTGGGTCTACAGCCTCAGTCCTGGATCTACAGCCTCAGTCCTGGATCTACAGTCCTGGATCCACAGCCTCAGTCCTGGGTCTACAGTCTCAGTCCTAGGTCTACAGCCTCAGTCCTGGGTCTACAGCCTCAGTCCTGGATCTACAACCTCAGTCCTGGATCTACAGCCCTGGGTCTACAGCCCTGGGTCTACAGCCTCAGTCCTGGATCTACAGCCTCAGTCCTGGGTCTACAGCCTCAGTCCTGGATCTACAGCCTCAGTCCTGGGTGATTTAAAATATGGAAGAAACAGACTGGATATTTTTGAAAAAAGAACCAGTCGTTTTCTCTCTTCTATCGTCTCCAACTGTTCCCTTCATCCTTTAACAAACAGAATGAATGAATAGAATCAAACAAGAACATGACGCAAGAGAAAAAAGCAACAAAGCTTGGACCCCAGAGTCCTCAGATCCCAACCAGGCCCACCCCGTTTTAATAATGTTTCTTCTTTGGGGACGCGCTCTTACTGTAAGTGCGGCTCCGGAGTCACTGGAGGTAAGAGGAAAGTGTCTGGAACCAATCCCAGATCAGAGCAGAGCTGAGCTGAGCTGAGCTGGAGCCAGGCCACAGGGTTTGTGTTTCTGATTAGTGTTGGAGGACTGGAGAGGACTGGAGACTCCATTTGCTCGCACAACGTCCCATTGATGTGATGGGGAGGCCATAACAGAGAGAGACCCTAACCCTAACCTTAACCATCTTACTCAGACCACCTTAACCCTAACCTTAACCATCTTACTCAGACCACCTTAACCCTAACCTTAACCATCTTACTCAGACCACCTAAAACTTAACCAGTCACTACTCACTGTAAACCTTGACAAGTAAACTTTACTTGAAAAAACCATGGAAATAAATTGCGTATTAACTTCACTTTAATTTTTTGAGTACATCCTTTATTATTACTAAGTAAACTCAAGCGTTTGCAATAAAGTTTAAATTTCTACTTATGATCCGACCGGGTTTCGTACTCAGAACCCTGTAGTTGAGAAGTGATGGTTATGGAGCTCTTCGCGAAAGTTCACTGTGGTAGACCCGGCCGCTGCTACAAGCCTGCTCATCCTCTACTCATTACACCAGCAAAACGCCCACATCTAATCCACCAATAACCACCAGGACAGCAAGTTAAAAGCCGGAGACGCCCACTTCCCGGCCTTCTGAAGTCTGCAAAGTGCATGTCGCTAACGCACCTGTTCGCAAATGCATGCGTTGTTCTGGAGGGGTCGCTTCTGCTCACGTGTTGCTCGTGCGCGTGGCCCGGCTGTCCTCAGTCTGGCTGCTCGTGGTCTGCTCCTCCTCCGCGTCCCTGCACCTGCTGTGGTTCGCGTGTCTCCACTGCTCTCCTCCTCTGCGGGCTCTTCTGCGGGCTGCTCCGCGGGGCCCCTCCGCGGGCTCTGTGCTGCTCGTTCCTCGTGGTCTGCTGCCGCGCGCAGACGGTCTGGCGGTGCCGCGTTGTCCCGTTGCTTTTCCCAAGTCTCCTGGCATGTGAGTACAGTGAGTGTGCTGACCGCGGACGGATTAATCCCGGAGTCTGGGCTGCAGGCGGCTGGTTTTTGCCCTGCGCACTGGACTGCAGGCTCCGTTTTCACACGTGTTTGAGCTAACTGAGGGGCAATGCATCTTAAATGGCATCAATCTCTATTGTCTGAGGGATATAAGAGGAGCAATGTGCATTAATTCAGATTCATGTTCTGCCACTTGTAGTAAAACCACGTTGGAAAAATTTGCAAGACTACCCCATCGTGCTCCAGACGGCACACACCAGAGCTCTTGCCACGGCGCCATCTTTACAGCATTAATCTCATTACTCGCAGGTCACTATTGTTAAATTAATGTATTTAAATTCGTCTATCTGCAGGAGGAAGGAGGGGCCATGCATTTAAATAGCTAGGTCACTAGGTAAATAAACTGCAGTTGTTGCATTTTGAAAGTGCAGCAGAAAGAAAAAGGGCCCAATGTGAATCTGCAATGGGTTTGAAGTGGAGTTGGAGCTAATGAACGCATGGAAAAGTGATCGTTCATGCGTATCTGCCATAACCAAAGCAGCAAGATGGCTCCAGGGGACATCTGTTATTCGCATGGGAATGTTTCGGATTCTGGTTGATTTATTTCCTCAGGCTCTTAAACAACCATGGGCATGGTTCTCTGACCGCCGCTGCTGCCGTTCCTACTGATGCCTGATCCCGCTGATGCCTGTTCCCGCTGCTGCCTGTTCCCGCTTCCGCTCCAGCTGCCGCTGCTGCCTGTTCCTGCTGCCGCTCCTGCTGCTGCCTGTCCCTGCTGCCTGCTCCTGCTGCTCCTACTACTACATGTGCCGCTGCTGCTGTTCCTGCCGCTGCCGCTACGCAGGCTCCCAGGCTGCACCTGTCTCTACGGCTCGGCTCTTTCAGACACGTATGTAACCTGGCTCACGGAGACAAGCGGCGCACGCTGGCGTGACACGTCTGTTTGTTTGTATGAATCGCATTGTGGTGCTACTGCTCCTGCTAATGCTGCTTCTGCTGCTTCATACTGCTACTGCTGCTGCTACTGCTGCTGCTTCATACTGCTACTGCTGCCGTGCTGCTGCTGCTTCATTTACTTTGACACCTCTCTTCACTTCGCATCTCTTTTACTGAAACACTAAACAGCTACAACAATATTCTACTGCTGTGGCTTTGATACAGGATTATTGCTGTTATTATCTACGGATGCTGCAACTGCTGCTGCTGCTACTGCTGCTGCTGCTTCATACTGCTACTGCTACTACTGCTACTGCTACTGCTGCTGCTGCTTCATTTACTTTGACATCTCTCTTCACTTGCATCTCTTTTACTGAAACACTGAACAGCTACAACAACATTCTACTGCTGTGGCTTTGATACAGGATTATTACTGTTATTATCTGAGGTTACTGCTGCTGCCGCTGCTGCTACTGCTACTGCTACTGCTGCTGCCGTGGCTTGATACAGGATTATTGCTGTTATTATCTGAGGTTACTGCTGCTGCCGCTGCTGCTACTGCTACTGCAACCCACTCTCTCAGAAGCTTATCCTGCTTCTAATGGATGCAGCCCGGCTGAGTATGCCGCGCTGCGCTGGACTCGCACCTATGCTCCCAGGGTCGCTTCGGCGGTCATGCTTCATCTCTCTACTTAATCTACTTAATCTTCTGATTCTATCAGATGCAGCTGGCCGAGTAGCTGCGCTGAGCTGTCAATCAAACTCCTAATCAAAGGCATCCGTACCTGTATTCTTCACTCTTCTGATCGCAGGCTCCCCATCATGCTGCCCATCCTGCAGCGGCACTGAACTCCGGCTCATCTTCCAGGTACATGTCTGCCCTCCTCGCAGCATCTTCCTGCTCGCCTTCTATGGCTTCTCTGCATAAGCGAGTTCACTACTGCTCACTCAACCTTCAATGCAGTCCGAGACACGGCTTTCCCGACCATCCTACTATCCTGATTTCTACTCTCCAACCCAAGATCCTAAGCGTAAGGGCGCCTGCAACATCAATGGCCCTCTCCGATATGTCTCTGCCCCTACAGGTTTCCGCTTCTACACGGATGCTGCCCCTTCCGTGGGTTTTGGGGGGTTCTTCCAGGACCCGTGGTTGCCGGGCCGTGGCCGCTACTTCCACTGGAGCATCTCATCTGCCCTACACGAGATATTCCCAGTGGTCGTGGCCTGCGCGCCGTGGAATCACACGTGGCAGAGAAAGAGGATCTGTCATGCATGATAATCTCGACGTAGTGGAAGCATTAAACAAAGGTCGCCTTCTTCACCCAACATAATGTCCCCTGACCATTTCAACCTTCATCTCAAACATTCAAAGATCAAAGGCGCCTGCAACATAATAATAGCTCGCTCCGACACATCTCTCTGCCCCTACAGGTCCATGATGCGTTACACTCGCCTCCGCTGCAAAAAGGAGATTTTAACGGACCTCTAATTCTCACTCCAGACAACCTTCCCATGACAGCAACCTGGTTCAGAGCTCAGCTAAGATCCCTACTGCTCCTCTGCAATTGTCTCCCCAGCTCCATACAGCCCACTCCTTCAGGATAGGCGCTGCCACACGCGCGGCCTCGCTGGGGCTCCCCCACACCTCTTTGCAACAGCTGGGGCGCTGGTCCTCTTCGGCTTCTCCGCCTACATCAGGCCAGACGCGTCCGCCATCCTGGCTGCACAACGTCTACTGGCTTCCTCGTAAGCTCCCAGCAAAGCAATACGAAGCAAAGTAAGTGAAGCAATAAGATTCTGGTGGCGGCACGCACTTTTTCAAAGATAACTCTGTTGCAGCGTCTGGTTGATCGTGATGCGAGCACTCACGTCTCAGCGCTCAAAGATAACCCTGCTGCAGCGTCCGGTTGATCGTGATGCGAGCGCTCACGTCCCGGCGCGCAAAGATAACTCTGCTGCAGCGTCCGGTTGATCGTGATGCGAGCGCTCACGTCCCGGCACGCAAAGATAACTCTGCTGCAGCGTCCGGTTGATCGTGATGCGAGCGCTCACGTCCCGGCGCGCAAAGATAACTCTGCCCGTTTTTGGGGATTATGCGCGCGAGCAAGCGCCGCGCTCAACAGCATCTCTCCCGGGCCTGGGGCGCCAAACATGCTCAATCAATAAACTTCTAACTGCATTTTCCCTCTTGGGTCTTTCCAAAGTGAAATGGAGCTTTTTGCGAAAATTCACTGTGGTAGACCCGGCCGCTGCTGCCAGATCTACAAGCCTGCTCATCCTCTACTCATTACACCAGCAAAACGCCCACATCTAATCCACCAATAACCACCAGGACAGCAAGTTAAAAGCCGGAGACACCCACTTCCCGGCCTTCTGAAGTCTGCAAAGCCTCCGCCGCCCCACCTCCTCTTCTCTTCGGAGCGTGCTCGCCTGCTGCCTCTACCGTCACCAGTGCTTAGGCCCCGGGGGATTGGCGCCAAACATGCTCAATCAATAAACTTCTAACTGCATTTTCCCTCTTGGGTCTTTCCAAAGTGAAATAAGGTAAGGGTGCACTTTATCGATCCCTGTAGGGCATTTCATCCTCTGCATTTGACCCATCCTGATGCCGCTAAGGCTTACGTGAGGAGCAGTGGTCGCCATAGTAACAGCACCCGGGAACCCATCTCCAGATGCTGATGTTTGGCTTGGTCAGGACTACCGGAGCTGGAGGAAACCTAAGTAAGCAGGGGGAGAACATGCAAACTCCACTCAGAAAGACCCCAATCTGACCGGGATTCAAACCCAGGACCTTCTTGCTGAGAGGCAAGAGAGCTATCCACCCAGCCATTGTGCCAGAAAAATATATCTTTTAATTTCTTAACCTTTGCTGGACAGTTTTGTGAGTACTAAAATAATGGACTTCTCTCTATGAACACACTAGATAGATAGATAGATACGTAGATATAGATAGATACTTTATTGATCCCCGAAGGAGAAATTCAGGTGTCCAGTAGTAGCAAAAAGAAAAATTATCATTCTAAAAAAAAAAAGATAACAATAGTATTAATCAGTCATAGCAGCAGAGATGGAGTAGCCTCTGGGTGGAGCAGGACAGGTCAGCAGCAGAGGTGGAGTAGCCTCTCAGTGGAACAGGATGGGTCAGAGCAGCAGAGATGGAGCAGCCACTGGGTGGATCAGGACGGGTTGTGGCATCACAGATTGAGTAGCCTCTGGGTGGATCAGGACGGGTCAGAGCAGCATAGATGGAGTAGCCTCTGGGTGGAGCAGGACGGGTCAAAGCAGCATAGATGGAGTAGCCTCTGGATGGAGCAGGACAGGTCGAAAGATGGAGTAGCCGCTTGGTTTGGACCATTTTCTCTGCTCTAGTCCAAAGTAAAATGCTAAATGCTTCATTAGAGTTTTTCAAAAAGCCAGCATTCCTCCAGTGGATTTTCACCTGATCCGCTTGATTTGGACCATGAATCCTCTCTGCTCCGGTCTGGACCAGTGTAAAACCATGAACACTGTACTGAAGCAACATCTCAGGCAGAAAAAAGCAATACAAATAAAAATTGTAAAGCACAAAACAATAACTGTTAATCAGAGCTACTAAGGACCTGCAGCCGTTACCCAGCGCATCTTTCAACAACAACAAAATAATAATAATGCACATAAAGAAATGCACTATGCACATATTGTAAACATACTTCCCTTTACTCGATAAGGTATAACAAATAAGCGCCCACAACTCATCATCTTGTATCTGAACTATTCAAACATCTCACTATCCCCACACTCTGCTCTCTTTATTGCTCTTTCCACGAGTTATGAGGCACAATTTCCATTGCTCAAAAACCCTTTTTTCCAAAGTGAGGGACAGCGTTGTGACCGCAAAACTAAACAGCGGGTTGTAAACTGCCAAATGAATACACACGGTTATTACATTTGCAATTACCTTTACCCACATGCTGTATAAAAGTTGGTCATAAATCACTCCCAGGACCTATAAAGGTGCAATGCAACAAAGCAGAGAGTACAGACCAATACTGAACCCAGCACAGAAGTCAGAAAAAAAGTAAAAAATGAATCTTTTACTTTGTTGTGGGACTTTGCCTCTGCAGCTGCACCTTGGGAGTGTACGTACAGGTAAGAATGCTATTGTAGGCTTAATGGTACTTTGGATTTGGATTTTAATGCATTATTTATGTTGCTTTGCACTATGATAGTATACCTTTTAGAAGAATTTGGTTATGAATTGATGGAATTGGCTAAATTTAAGGTGAATGAAGACAAAACAATGCTAGTTAAAAGTCAGACGCAACAATGAACACTGCTGATTCTTTATGAGTCCTTCTTCAATAGTATTTCTCATCAAAACTTCCCCAATGTGGGATTTGTCTTGAATATTGATTCAGTGTCTGCTGGTGTCTTTCCGGTTTGGCTATGCCTTTTTGGGGTTTTTCAGCTTTTAAAAACTCCTTTAAGAACTCTAAAAACCAGCTTTAACACTTTACCTTGCATTTCCAATGGAACAAGTCATCAGACAGAAATAAAAGAAAAAAGACAGACAGTAATGAATGTAGCGGTTATACTGTACATTATTCTTTCACTGCATACACAAGGGGTGATTAACTACAACTGTAGCCGCAGCTGCCCAGGGGCACACTGACAAAAGCAAGACAACAGTATGTGCACCGCCAAACATTCACACACACCAGGCTCATTCTAGGCAATGTGTGTAAAATATCTTGCCTAAGAACATAACAGCAGTTTGGTACTTTACAGCCACATCCGCCCCACTGTGGCACCATGGTGTTCCCAGAGATCTGACAGGATCTGGCTTTTTTGTGCAAATATGGCCACATCCAACAAATATCTGTATATTTTTTGCTGAAATTGCTCCGAATGGGACAGGAGGTGGGACTTACATCTGTCAATCATGTGTGAGGTTCAAACTAGCCCATTTTCAGTAATGTTTAACAAAATTAGTCATTGGAAGAATAAACAATACTATAAATACACATTTTTATGACAATGGCAAACTACTTATGGTATAAAAAAATATTTTTAAATAGGCTTTATAATTCTGGATGAGATATTCTGAACCAAAACTCCTAGATCGAGCCCAATTCAATAAAACAAGCACAACAACCTTCATTTGGGTTTATACCATAAAATATAGACTCCAAACCATGACGAAAGCCAAAATAGCATTGCCATGTATGTCACTCGAGCAGTATTCGATAACCTTTTTGACAATGACAACTCAATCTAAATGTAAAAAAAAAAAATCATGAAACAACTCAATCTTAGAGAAACACAAATTTACTCCACTTTGTGAAAAATGTATGCGGGTGCTTTCAGGTTGGAGACCGGAGCTTCCCCCTGGGGGCTGTGAAGACTCTCAAGGCTCTGATGGAGAAGGAAGACTTTGAGGTGAACCCAAATGTCGCAGAAACCAGCTCTGTAGCAGTGTGCCAAGACCCGGTCCTGCCCCAGGTTTTCAGGGAAGTGTGTCAAGAGCAGGGAGCGGCCGTCACACTGTCCAGACTTGGTAAGATACGTTCATATCACCAGACCAACTTCACACACACACATATATATTTATATATATATATATTTATAGAAGGCTTGAACTTCTCCTTTAAATAGCTTTGTAAAGGCTATTTGTTGAGGGATGAATCAAGTAATTTTTGAATCAAGTTTTTTTTTTCATTTCAAGCCAAGGTTTAAGATGCATTATATGCCTGACATACAGTAGATGACAAACATAAAAACAGGAGTTCCTTACTTTGAAACAAAAAAATGGGATGAAATCAAATCCAAAACTGTTTTATCGCTAGTTTTCACATGCATGTGTTCTTGTATCTTCAGATCGTTTCAGTAAAAAAGAGGATAACAGACCTCGCTCAGCCAATCAGATTCCAGTGTCAATCTTTATTTGCTTTTCCAACACAACACATGAGGCATTGATCATAATCATTAAAAACAAAAGGGCAATAAAAATGAACATCATAATCACACCAGAGATTCAAATAAATAATAACAATGAATAACCACAGTGCATTACTGGATTTGAACACAAAATATCTTAATAAAATGCATTAAAATTAGTACAACAAGTGTACACTATTTATCCATCCACCCATTTTCTTCCCCTTAATCCATTTCTGTGTTGGGGGGGTGGCAGTCATAACTGCACAGTCCACAGAGCACCAGCCCCTCACTGGTCCTCCTGCAGGTGCAGAGTCCACAAGAGCCTTGATCTTTCAGCTGGGGATTCAGGCAAAGTGGGGTTAAGTGTCTTGCCCAAGGACACAACAAAAGCAAACATGAGTGGGAGCAGTTGGAGTAGGTCTCGTGGTGGGCTCAAACCCTCGTCCTTGTCAACGCTCTGAGCCACTGTCGCCCCACTAAGTACACTAAGTACACACAATATAGATTTACCAGTGCAGTTGAAGTGACAGTAGCAAAAAATGTTAAAGTTTGTGGTAATAAAATCTTGAATCGAGTGTTTTTCCTCTTAATTTTAAGACATTCTATTTGTCTTCAAACAAGATTTACCAATGGGACAAAGCCATTTACTCTTATTACTGTTGCTTTACTTTCTCATTCCAAATGATACAAAATGTCTTGTATAGTTTTAAACCAAAAGCATTTTGCTTGTTCTATTTGCAAATCTTGTTTTAAGGCAGTCGGTACATGCTCGGATTAAGATACGTTTAGCCAAATTTGAGTATTTTTTGATCACTTTTAGCAGTGCGGTTGTAAAATTCAGGGGTCTGCAATCTGGAAGGACACTCATCAGAACAGACTGCACCCTTCTCTGCTGATGTGGTTCCAGCTTGTACCAAGATGAGTTCAATTTAATTACAGTGACGCTCATCTCACCTGTGGATCCGTGCGAGATCTGTGTCAACCCCTCCTGCTACGGCTGCCACGCCTGATGCATGGAGCAGCATCCACAACGGCAGCTTCCCTTCACCAGAGCTCACACCAGTATCCAGGAAATCAGCGATGCATCACCTGCAACAACACACAAAATATAACATTAAAGACTCATGAGAAAGCACTGACAAAGACTGTTACTGTAGATCTGCTTACGGTTTGATTTTATGTGTATGTTTTGATCATAAATATGGTATTCCTATTTATTGTCTGTATCTTCTGTGTCCAGAAGAATTAGAAATAGTTGTCTCTAAGAGGAAATTATGGGGCAGAGGGAAACACAGGTATTTTGTTCGAATGGGGACACCTGCTGGCGTCTTTTTATGTGGTTTATCTTCATTTCTCTTCTAGACAGAAATATGAAAATGGGCTGTGTTAGGTGATTTACTTAGTATAGTAATGTATGTATATTACTTGTTACTTGGATAAAATAAATTAGATATATCTTTATTCCAATATTTTGGTTTTAACTCTGAGTTTCTTTGAGTTACGTTTGGTCCGGAACACTTCACTGGCAGTTTTGTTAGTCGCTTTTCAGGAGCAAAACGCTTTTTTTTATTATTATTATTATTATTAACAATATTAGCTGTAATGATCATTGATGTTTGAAGATTTTTTTATATCATATATAATGATCATTGTTGTGTCCTCAAATTACGCTGATGGCACATGTAACTAGTAATGTAGTAACGTGTAATTAAACGTGTTTTATTATGAGTTACACTATTGAGATACTTTAAAATCAAGTTTCTCCCAACACTGAATAGAGTCGTATCAAGTTTGGTCAAATCTGTAGTGGTTTCCATAGAGACGGGCGGGTCGCAGATCAATTGGAACTAATAAAGCGTCGCTCATCATAAATAAAAATACTTTTTGCTGCAGGAGGATGCTATGCGGCTCGTTGGTCTAGGGGTATGATTCTCGCTTAGGGTGCGAGAGGTCCCGGGTTCAAATCCCGGACGAGCCCACCATTTCGTTTTATTGACTTTGTCGATTTGATTCTATTAAACATTCTGTGTAAATAGCTACTGCGATAATCCAATAGCTCTTTATATAAAGCAACATAAATAAATGAATTTTTTGTTTTAATCTTTTTTTTCAGTTGTTTTTGCACGTTTTTTCCCCAAGAGGGCACCATCTAACAATATATGATTCAGCTATCTCTCCCTCAGCAGCTCATAAGAGGAACGTTCATGGATCTAGCCTGCGCTTATGTATAATGGCACATAGTAACTTGTTCAGATTATACTGGACTGTACCTTAAAACTACATGCATGACATGTCACTGCACAGCAGGCGCACTGTTCCTATGTTCTGTCCACGCAGAACTGTCCAGTGGGGCATGGGAAGGACAGTGTGAAATATTCTTTGTGTTGCTATAGCTGCAATTATCAAAAACAAAAATTACTCTTTGGTGACTGTTTTCAAACATATTCAGGTCTGCAGGACTTAGATCCATGGACTTATTAGACCACAGCATAATAAATTTGCATTAACGGCTTTATAATTTTCCTGCAGGATACCCAACTGAATTGTTGGGTAGTTAAACCATATTTATCCAGTTTGACATTTCAGAGCCTGGTATCAAAGTCACTTGTGTTTTTGGTCACAGAAGGTCACTCTTCTCAGCACCAAAGCTCGTAGGACAGTACGTTATAGAGACAGGGAAGTGCATCTGATTAAGACAAAAATAAATAATAATTGTTTTCTTGCTGGTGGATTTAACTGTGCTTTTCAATTACTGTAAGATCACATGTTGTTCAATCCCTCTTTCACTCAGTCTGATTTCAATCTTTGGCCGTGCCTGACATTCAATATGTTATTTGTTCAAGGAGGATTTTTTCCAGCTGTGAAATGAACTTGCTCGGTCAGTCACAAAATAAGACATTGTTTATGTGTTTAACTGTAGACACTTTCTGCCAGATTCCATGAAGCTTTACCTCCTCTGAGAATATGAGCCACATCTGTGAGTAGACCGACACTGCTGGATTTGGTCGTTGCAAAGTCACCACAAAGTACATATTACACTGAATCACTGTAGCGATGGTAGAGATTATCATAGGGAAGAGACAGGACTCACTATTTAGAATATTGTACACTGATTGGACCATGGAACAGTATAGTACACAGAGTACATCTATAAGCACAAATGCAAAGTAGTCTCACCAACTCTGTAAATCTGTAGGGCCAGTGATTAACCATTGTCCATGCAGTCTGCTCTATGGCTTATGTTCACCTGCCATTTCACAAACAATGTTCTGCAGAACCATTGTTATATTTGATTACTTAACCCTGGCATACAGTTGGTGAGGAGTCACTGCCGTCTCCAGCTGGCTTTATAACCTGGATTTTTATTGCACAACAACACATAGGGTCACTGCCTACTCTGTAAAAAATACTACAACATTTCTTTTTTGAGCGAAATGGGTTTAATCGTTCTCAGTAACTTGTTGCCAGTATATCTAAAATAGTTACTTTCTTACTAATTAAATGGTGATATTGTGTCTCTAGTTTGCGGAGATCTGTCTTAACCAGACTGTTGTTGTGTCTACTCTGGTAAAAAGAATAAGAAGAACAGCTCAAAGTGTGACTGAAACTACCTTGAAACATAAACTTAAAATCTATTTTGTCCTTTAGTCAGTGAGGCTCTGGTCTCTCTCTGGTCAGTGAAATCAATGTCATGACATATTCTTTACTCTCTAAATTGATTGTTGATTATTCTTTTATTCAGGATGTGCAGATGAAGCTCTTTGGTGTGCCTTTATATCCTTGTTCTGTACTATTTTCATTATAATATGTAAAGTTTGATTGTAATTGACTTTGGGGGTGTGGTGCTAATGAGCTTTTTGCTTCAGCCCACTCCATTTGTGCAGTTTTAATACTGTTCAAATAAAAAATTTTTACTTCCTGAGTCCAATTAGAGTGAGATAAGGTGATGACGTGTTTATGAAAATTGTTCAAACTAACTATATACTTTATAAACTATTGGTCATCTTCCCTAATGGTGTTTTATATTGTTGCATTTCTTGTGTTTGAACTGTTTGATTCTCTGATCTGTGGTTGCGAATAGTATATAAAGTCCTCCGAGAGAATACTGTTGTGATTCAGGCCTATACAAGAAAAAAATAAAATTCAAATTGGTTTGAAACGTATTGTGTGTGTGGTGATAAAAAAAATGGCTTTGATATAGATTTGATTTGATTTGATTGTTATTTATTTGAGCATTTTGCAAACATATATTTTCATTTTTACAAGATTACACTGTTTTAAACTAGCTCAAACGGAGTAGGCTGAAGCAAGAAAGCTTATTAGTGCCTACCCCCTATTCCAAGTGATCACTTTCAGCTGCAGAAAATAACCGTGAATACAGGCATCAAACAGTTTACGTACAATAAACACTACGAGTTCCTGAGTTACCCAGACACATGCACATCAGAGGGTGCATGAGCCTGTCAACTTACAAGCAATTAGGGAATGACAATTTCCATACATACAGTAGGCACACACAAGGCTCTGTCTAATGTGGACAACTGTAATCATGGAATTGATTTTGATCATGGATGGCATGATCAAAATCAATTCCATGATTACAGTTGTCCACATTATCCTAACAAGTGTCAGCATTGATTAGAAAAGCATTAATGTCTATACAATAAATCACAAGATTTTCACACGACTTCCAAGGTAAGATAATCATTATTATTATTTGTGTTTTTGTTGTTTTTTCATTCATATGATAACCATCTACCATCAATACCTAAGAACACCGATCACCATTCTATTGACTGATCATGATTTCATTATTATTTGCATTACATTTACGTTATTACATTATAGATAGATGGATAGATGGATAGATAGATAGATAGATAGATGGACAGACACTTTATTGATCCCCGTAGGAGAAATTCAGGTGTCCATTTTAAGAAGATTTGTGTACAGAATTAACTGCAATAAATGAGTCAAACTTTTCTCAAATTTGGCAAAATGTATCTCAATTTGGGCATATTTTGACAGGCTTAAAAACAAGATTTGCCGATGGGACAAGCAAAATGATCTTATTTTAAAAATATGCAAGAAATATCTCCCTTGGAATGAGATAATAAAGCAACAGTCCTTGAAATAAGACTGAATGGCTTTGTCCCATTGGAAAAATCTTGTTTTCCAATGGGATCTTCAGAATGTTCCCAAATTAAGATAAAATTAAAAGAAAATAGCTTCAAGCATTTTTTACCTCATATTCTATAAATCTTTGCAGTGTTCTCATTCCACCATGCTGCCTGCACTCTTGAAAACCCCAACATGGGAAGACTGGCCTGATGGTGTTGAATTTTCTGGAGTAGACCGGTTCATTTTATCCACTATTAACCAGCTGCGGTTGTTTGAGAACGATATAATCCCAATAGTCTCTCATTAGTGCGCATGAAAGGCCGTTCTGTCTCAGCAGAATTTCAAGCAGCTATTCATATGCTGCCATCCAGAATGAGTAAATAGGCAAGCCTCCATCTAACAAAGGCATGCGCTCTGTCTCTTAATTGTCTTGTAACGAGGCAAAGTCCACGTTTTGTCCTATGTGCCAGCCAAAGGACACAGAATTCACTTCATCATTCAGGTTGATAGTAGATTTTCTATATCTGGCGAGAGACAGTGGGGCGACAGTGGCTCAGTTGGTAGAGCATTGGCCTTTGAGCCTGAAGGTTGTGGGTTCGAGCCCACCACAAGACCTACTTCACGACTCCCACTGATGACTGCTGTCGTTGTGTCCTTGGGCAAGACACTTAACCCCACTTTGCCTGAAGCTCCCACTAAAAGATCTCAGCTCCTGTGGACTCACCACCTGCAGGAGGATCAGTGAGGGGCTGGTGCTCTGTGAACTGGGTGCAGCTCTGACTGCCACCCCCCCCGACCCAGAAATGGATTAAGGGGAAGAAAATGGATGGATGGATGGATGGCGAGAGACAGACCACACAGCAAAAAGTGCGACAAAAAAAGTCAAAAC